TTTTTAAAAATTGTTTTACGAGTAGTAGGATGTTCAAAAAGTTACTCAAGATCGTGATCAAAAGCCTACTAAATTTATATCATTTAAGTTGAATTACCAACCTGTGTATAGTTTAATTGAATTGGTTGGTTCGTAGTTTATTGCTAAACTTTTTAAAAAATAAAATTGCATGCGATTATATCCATATATTTATTTTAATTTTATTTAATTTCAGAGTTATTTTTTAGATTATTATTCTCCAATAAATTTTAAAAAATAAAATTCTGAAAGGATCGGGATCACAGAACATTTGGAATGCTCTCGCTCCACCAATAAAGAATATATTGCCCTAAACCCTAAACCCTATATACACCTACACATACCAATAAAACACAATAGACACAAACATGAAAAATATGGAGTGATAAGAGTGAGTATATATTCCGTAAGTGTCTTTAAAATGTGAGATGAGATTTAAACAACTTAAATGTTCCTAAGAACATAGTGGACATCTCTGTCATCTTAGAATGACTAAGGTAGCTCATTAGGCTGTTAACAGTATGAACGATGCTACAGAGTCTCCACCACCCTATCCTCTTTAGTACCCCGATAGTGTTATCACGACCCAAGTTGAACCCAATAGCATCTCGCCAAGCGGTAGCCCTCTAGGAGTTGTACCATAGAGCTACTACGCCTAGATGGGATAAGGTGGTGGTTAGGTGCCCCAACCTTGTGGAAATGGCAAAGGGCCTTCTAAACGGAGTCACTTTACTGTAAACTTATCCTAAGAGGGAGCGTGGGACCACGTAGGTTGATATAGTAGCTGACCGACACATATGGTAGCTCTAGTGGGAGAGTATGTCAGCTAACCTTCCATGGATTTTGTTCACATTATAGACACCATACTTTAGCACCAGATAATTATGAAGTAACGTCTCAACTTAGGATGTAAGTTATTTACCCCAACCGCCCATGTCAATCGTATGTGGCACTCATATATAACAAGTCTGTCATTTAGTCCTCCGTACTCTTACTTCAAGATTTTTTCTCTAATAAAATGGTAGTGCACCTCCACATATTTTGTTCCAGCATGAAACATTAGATTTTCTACTAGACGAACCGCTGACGTACTTTTTTGAGTTGCTTCAACCAGTACTCTATATTCCGCTTTTGTAGTTGACAATGATACTATTGATTATCTTTTGCTACACCAAGAAATTATTTATGGATCGAGTTTAAACACATATCTAATGGTTGATCTTCGAGTATCATGATCTCTTGCATTGTCAACATCACAATATCTAGCTAGCTTGCAGTCATCACTTCTTTTGTACAAAACATCATAATCATTTGTACCTATGACATATCTCAATATCCGTCGAGCCGCATCCAAATGGCTCATGACTCCAACTCCATTCTCAAATTCCTTCGGTTGGTTCATGTGGATCTCCCAATCTAACTCTCCGAGTTAGAAACTATTCTTCACATCCATCTACCATAATTTTAAATCTTTACTTACCGCAAGTACTAGCAGGACTTGTACAGTAGTGACCTTCACCACTAGACTAAACGTTTCATCATACTCTAGTCTATATTGTTGAGAGAGCCTTCGAGCTACAAGTTGAGCGTTGTATCTCTCGATTAATTCATCCTCGGAGTTGAATTCATTATTTAACTAAAAACAAATTTAAAATGCCATTAAAATTCAATCTTATTTTTTTAGTAAAAATAATTATAAATTATCCCATATTTTCATTTACCTAATGATATACTACAAAATAATTAATCAAAATTTAAGAGAATAATGTGAATTGACTTTTTCAAAATTATCCATTAAAAACTTTCCATAAAATATTACCTCTAATATAGCAATGACAATCATAATTGCTAGTTTCTCAAGTTCTAAACATTTTGGATATTTTCTTTCTAGGTGTAATTATTATTAAGTGTTTGGAATTTGATATTTACGAATTTTTCATATAAAATCCCTATTTCAATCTCGGCGGAATTTAAAGTAAAGTTTAGTTGCAGTAAAATCATGAAAGAAAGTGGCGGGAACGGAGACAAAAAAAGTCATTTTTGTCCCTCATCTCGAATACTCTTATTTTTTTAATCTACGTCAATAATTATTAAGAGACAGCACATCAAATATAATGGTAAGCTCATTAATAAATTATACACCCTAACCATCTTTACCAATGTGCACGTCATGTGCAGTGCCATATCATCTAGTATGTCTCTTACCTGCTTAGCTATACACCTACCATATAAGCGCAGTGCCATATCATCTAGTATGTCTCTTACCTGCTGAGCTATACACCTACCATATAAGCCACCGTGGATTTGTTTCTATTTTTGTTTTTGTTTTTTTAGAACATCACTTTTAAATTTTAAATTTAACAAAAAAAAATCAATTTAAATTAATTTTAGTAGAATATTAAATCATTCATCTCTGAAATGATAATTTATATTTTATCTATTAAGTTTGAATGGGTCAGATAAAAAGTTATTTGGGTATACAAGGATGGGTCAGTAGGTTTGAGTTTATTTGGGGGTATACAAGGATGGGTCAGTAGGTTTGGAAGAATCTCTTCGACCAACCCACTTGAAAAACTTGAAACGAGTTCACACACAACCCTATATTTTAGGCTTAGGTTGGGTTGGACTATCGGATCATTCCACCTGAGAAACTTGAAACGAGTTCACACCCGACCCTATATCTTAAGGTTAGGTTGGGTTGGACTATCGAGCCATTTTTTAAACTATTTTTAAAAAATCATTCTAATTGTGTTAATAACTAAAATTTCATAAAATTAAAAACTAAAATTTCATAAATTTCAAATATTAAACATTTACACGTTACATTGCCTCATTACATCAGTTACAAATGTTAAATATTTTTAATCTTTTTAATAGTAATGTACAGTTAGGTTGTAACCTTATTTGCGAACTCAATTAAAAAAAATTCAGCTCGCAAACCGAACTAAATCTTCGATTTTTTAAAAAATTCAACCCAACCAAAATCAAAAAAAGATCTAACCCAACTCAACATTTATGATTTAAGTTAAGTAGTTCTGGTTATCGAGTCATATGAACTCCTTTTATGAGATCTCGATTGGAAAGAGGAACGAATGCTAGCGAGGACGCTTGGCCTCGAAGGTGGGTGAATTGTGAGATCTCACGTCAATTGGAGAGGGGAACGAGTGCAGCGAGGACACTGGACCCCAAAGGGAGTGGATTGTGAGATCGCACATCAATTAGAGAGGGGAACAAGTGCCAACGAGGACGCTAGATCCCAAAGGTGGTGGGTTGTAAGATCCCACCTCAATGGAAACCTCCCCTTAGTAGACACATTATAGAAACCTTGAGGAAAAACTCGGAAGGGAAAGCCCAAAAAGGACAATATTTGCTAGCGGTAAGCTTAGACTATTACAAATGGTATCAGAGCCAAGTGTCACAATCGCACTTTTAATGGCAGCGGACTTGCGATTGTGCAGCACTCACTTTCTTACGACAAGTGAGCTAAGCCAATTCGTTCTTGCGTCGCCTACTGCCAAGCGACGTATGCTCGAGCCTCTAGCCTCGATTTTAAGAGAAGGTTTTAGAAAGCGAGGACAGAGAGAGATTTTCGAAAGAGAGATTTTTGAAAGAGACGTTATATAAGCAAGCAAGAGAGAAATAACAACGGCTTACAGTATATAACCTTGGGTAAGGAGAAATTGACAACTAGTCGTATCCCCTATAGTACATCCTGAGGCATTTCATGTCTGATAGACCTAGACATGATATTTCTGAAATATCATACTTCCTAGAAATATAAAAGTAAAACACTAGAATATGAAAAAACATGAAGGGTTGGGTTTGTCATGGGCATGCGGCCATGGCAACATGCCTTGGACGAGCATGACCGTGACACCAAGCACGCGGAGTGCCAGTGAGGACACTAAACCTCAAGGGGGTGGATTGTGAGATCCCACATCGATTGGAGAGGAGAACGAGTGTCAGCGAGAACACTAGACCCTAGAGGTGGGTAGATTGTGAGATCTCATATCGATTGGAGAGGGAAACAAGCGAGCGAGGATGTTCCACTATTTCCTTCCCAAAATCAGCCTTTGATAGGGTTTAATGGTTTTTTAAAAAAGTTGCTAAAGAAAATTGGAGAAATCAAAGCATTTTGCAGAGGAAAACCATCACCTCAAAATTGCAATAAAACCTAACATCAAAGATTGTAATAAAACCTAACATCAAAGAAGTTCTTAATTCTTCAAAATCAAAGAAGTTCTTAATTCTTCAAATTCACCGCTAGCAAATATTGTCTGCTTTAGCCTCATGGTAATGAATGTTGCATTCCCCCCTTTAAAACTGATGTGATGTGAGATCTCATACTCCACCTTCAAAGCCTCACGATAAGGACTCACATTCTACCTCCAAAGCCTCGCAGTAAGAAATGTTTCGTTCCCCTCTTCAAGTAATGTGATATGAGATCTCACAACGTCCTCGTTGGCACACAACCAATATGATGTGGGATCTCATAATCTATCCTTCTTGGAGACGAAGCTCTCGCTGGCACACCACTCACCACTCACCACTCACCACTCAATGTCTGACTCTAATATCATTTGTAACAACCTAAATTCACGAATAGCAGATATTATTCATTTTGGCCCATCACATATTAGGATCAGCCTAAAGATTTTAAAACATGTTTACTAAGGAGAGATCTACCTCTATACCATTATAAGAAATGTTTTGTTCCTCTCTCAGACTGATGTGAGATCTCACCTAACAAGTGAGGATTTGAGCAAATTTTCTCTTGAGTCTTTTATTTCAAAGAAGTGTGAAGACAAATCGAAGAAAAGATCATGATGAATAGATATTGAAGTTCACATGTTTATTAATAAATACAATTCTTCAGATTTTACTAATTCAACTAAAAAAAATAAAGTATACCTATAGATAAAGTATCTCTCTTTTCTATGATTTTTTAACTGTGAATAATACGAGGAAAAAAAAAAAACTCAATCTAGCAGCACCAACAAAAACAGTCTTGTTCACTCATAAGATACCTGCATCTAACCATAAATCTCACAAACAACATTCATCCATCATTTACTCGACATTACCGATCTAATAAAGTTACCTGACTATGGTTTAAGTGAAATTCAGGAGTATAGATCGTTATTACTTATTGGGTTTCCTGTGAACTCTGTGGAAAGAGATGACAATTTCAAACAGTTTCATAACACCAGGATTCCAATCTCTCCTTGAGAAGAAGGAAAGAAAACAAACGGGGTCAATCAAAATGAACCTATTCAAAATCCAAACCTAAAAAAGGGGTCAATAACCTTTGAGGTGAACCTAAGCAAACAAAAGAAAAGGCATTTCAATCCAAACAAAATCATTAGATACAAATTCCCAAAGTTGTTTGAGATGAACTCACAAAGCATGGACTCAGAGATCTTTCTCCCTAGAGTAGCGTCTTTTATAAGATTTGACTTTCTTTGAGGAGTGGAACTCATAAAAATAGTTTTAGCTCTTTTGTATGGCAATAAACCCAACCAAGGATCGCCAACCTGAGCAAAGCTTTGCTCAACGCGTAAGATAAACTATTTCGGTCAAGAAGTTAGAAGTTCAAATTCTCTGTCCTAAATTTAGTACCAAGAGAAATAAAAAAACAAGGATCAAACTTCATCCCAACAACAAAAACAATCAGCACTTTAGAGAAAGTTGCCCCTATCCCTGAAAGAAGAATGAAACAGATCCTCCATTATAAGGATACGATCCCTATTATGTACTAAACAAAAGTCTGTTTCATCACTCAGTGTCACTTCAGTCTACGTTTTCGACAACCAATTAAACCGATTTCAGTAACTCGGTAAGTATCAACCTTAACCACTGTCTTGTATCCATTTTCATGCAGGAAAAGGGTGGAATCTTTAAAGCAAGGAATCGAGAACAGGAGAGACGATAATAAGCCAGCAGCAGAGAAAACGTCGACTTCCAAAAGATGGTTCTTTTAGTGTAAGTGCTTGCTTCAGATACCAGGATTCCTATTTGGTTCTTAAAGGCCCAATGAACAATGATTCTTCTGAATTGAATACAAACAAGGGCTTGAGTTTTAGGCTCTATCTAGTCTGAAATGGCATCGTTCTACAATTTTCTTGGCATAAGAAGAAGCTATTAAATGGAATGCACTCATTAATCCATAATGATCTCAGTGAACAGGTGGTGACATATTGAAAAATGGCATTATCATTGCATCACAAAACTTGATCATAAAGCTAAGCAAGAGATTTCATTCCATCACATTAGAAGTGATTTTGGAGGCAATCAAAGGCATCATAACTACAAAATGAAAATTTTCTAACTAAGAAATATAGATTTCTACCAATCAAATCAAGAGAATCAGAATCAAACCAACTATACAGAACGACTCACCGTGGCATCTCCTGTTGAACAAGTAGTAGCAGGTCCGGCTGCTCTTCTAACACTACCAAAATTCTTCCTACTCCACTTTATACATGGCCCCTTAAGATCTACACAACCTTTGTCTCAGAGAATTTGATCTCTTAGACACCGAAGAACGAGAAAAAACCTCGTTTCTTCGGCTCCTCTTCGACCATCACAGCCGTCATACTGTCATGTTCAACAAGCCTCCAAGCTGCCTGCTCAAAGGCCAAACCCGCCAATGTGGGTGGCTTGTTCAACACCAGAGGGTACCCTCTGTTTGTGCTACGAATTACCTCTGAATCCTCAGGGATTGCACCCAATAAAGCCAACCCCAACATCTCTTGTACGTCTAGCACAGACATCATATCCTCCCCCTTGATCATATCAGTCCGAACCCGATTCACCATCATCTTAATATCTCGAATTCCATCACATTCAAGCAATCCCGTCACCCTATCGGCGTCTCTCAAGCTCGTAATATCCGGCGTCGTTACAAGAATCGCCTCATTAGCAGGTGTAATGGCGGTAATGAATCCGGCGTCAATTCCAGCCGGACAGTCGATAATGATGAAATCCGGACAACCTTCTTGTCTAGCTTTTAGCGCATCCACAAGCCAAACCAATGCTTTCCCACCAAAACCAATCGGTAATTTCGACCTAGGCTTCGAAATACAAAGCAATTCAAAATTCGACCATCGTTTATCCCTCACCAAAGCCTGATCCAACCGGCAATCCCCATTGAGAACCTCAACAACCGTGTAATTGACACGATTCTCAAGCCCTAAGAGAAGGTCGAGATTCCGGAGGCCAACGTCCGCATCAATGGCCACAACAGAGAAGCCAAGACGGGCCAGGGAAATGCCGACATTGGCAGTGGTTGTGGTCTTGCCAACGCCGCCTTTACCAGAGGTGATGACGACGACGCGGGGAGTGTCACCGGCGAGCTCCGGCTTCCGATTCCATTGAAGGACGGATTTAACGGGGGTGGAAGAGAGGGATTTGGGGAAGGATTTAGGGTTGCGGATTGGGAAGGCTTTGGAATGGAAGGGATTGAAGATGAATGGATTGGGAAGAAGGTGAAGGATTCGCATTGTTCTGAACGCAAGAATTAGGGCATACCAACCCCAACAGTAAGGATTTGATCACTTTGAGACACTGGAAGTGGAAGACTGAATGTTCCTCTGCGACAGAGACTGAGAGATTGGATATTTTGAACGAGAAAAAAATATAAAATAAAAACAGAAAATTAAATTTAGGAAAAAAGAAAGCGCGCCAGGTAGGGGTCGAACCTACGACTTTCTGCTTAGGAAACAGACGCTCTATCCACTGAGCTACAGGCGCTTGTGTTTGAACACGATCTAACAACAATTTTATTTATTCTATAAAATAAATAAATATCAAGATATTGAGTATTAGAAATGTTCACTTCTCCCTCCATAATTTCAATTTTCATTTCCACTCAATTTTTTATTTTATTTTATTTTAGTGGAGATTTTAGAATTCGAGAAGATCGGGCTACTCTGGTAAATAGTTATCTGTTAATCTTTAATAATAAATTGTTAAGATAGGATGAGATGATAGGTACGAGGGTCGTGCCCCTAGATTTTTATGAGATCTCTAACTATCCTTTAGTTCTGAATCTGTTCAGATAAGGAAAATGGTCAATATGAATAGTTCTATGTGAGTATAAAGTAGTTGGCAAGATTGCTACTGAATAAAAAACTTATTTATAAACTCGTAATTCAAATTACTTCACAAAATATTTGATTAACACTAGTGAAGCAGCTCGATCAATAGGGAGAGGAACGTCGACTTTTGAAACTATTAATAAAGCACTAACACGTCCCTACCATCTTTCTAAATCAACAAGCATTCAAAACTTTAGTATAGGGAAGGAGTGAAGCCTAAATTTAATATTTATAAATAATATATGTTTTAGCCACCGACATTTAATGACCTAAAACCAATATGAATATACCTAACCCAATTAGATGAGGTCAAAAAAAATGTTTCAACCTAATTCAATCTTGTCCACGAACACTTCTGGACCTAAGTAAAAAAAAAGTACACGTTAGGACCGGAAGCAAACCAATGAAATCCATTCGTGGTCGGCCATTATAACTGAGTGAAAAAAAATTGGATGTTGGGACCAAGTTTGTCCCCTTATGGCTTGTCATGAACACGATCTTGCAACTTTAGCTTCGAACAACGCCTCATTACTTTGTTTGGGGTAACGAAAGAGAGAATTTGAGCACAGAAATGATGGAAAATGAGAGTGTTCTTTAGTCATAACAATACACCAAGTATTGTATTTTGATGGTTCCTGATGTAGTTCAAATTACAGTCCATGTTGCTGTAATTCTTGGTCTTGGAAAGCTGTTCATCATTGATTTAAAAGCTGTTGTGGCTTCAAATGCCAATATTGAGCCCCCAACAACACCATGTGGGATGCCAACTTTGGTGCTTCCTGCTCTTCTTGCTGCTACTTTTCTGGGCATTGCCTTGACGATCCTTAGCTTAGACCGCCCTACGTGCTCGAGTTCGGTTTTCTTTCTTTTTTTCTCACTTAAAAATGTCTTCCGTAAGTACCTTTTCATATATTTCATTTATTTACTTCTATGAACAAGGACCGATAAAGAAGTTTTCCTCATCTCTGTCCCGTTCCTGTCTCTTATTTCAACTCTCATTCTTATGAAATTCTCATTTATTTTTTAAAGAATGGGGTATTCGCCATAAAAAAATTTCTCCAATTTTTAGAAAAAGTATTTGTTTTTAATGGATAATTTTCATTTTCTAATATAATTTCTATTAAGAAAATATAAAAACATTCTTACCAATTCAATAATATATTATTTAACCTACCTTTTAAAAACTTAAATTTCAATATTACAACATTACACGCTTCCACCTTATATATGTATAAATTGAGTCGAGGCAATTGACTAGGATTTGGGCATGGTTGAAGGCAGGGATAGTGATGGGAATATAATCTTCGCCCCTAGTCTCGTTTAAGTAACAGGAACAAATCTTAGGTCGATTTTAGAGGGGAACGAAAATCTCTTATAAGGGTGTGAAAATCTCTCCTTAACATATGCGTTTTAAAAACCGTTAAGCTGACGGTGATACATAACGGGTCAAAGCGGACAATATCTATAGAACACTTGGCTCCCAAGGAGAGTGAATTGTGAGATCTCATATCAGTTGGAAAGGAAAACAAAACATTCCTTAGAGGATGTGGAAACCTCTCCCTACCAAAAGCGTTTTAAAACCCTGAGAGTAAGCTCATAAGCAAAAGAAAGCTAAATAGGATAATATTTACTAGCGGTGGGCTTGAAATGTTACACTTATTCTCTGTTGGAGATCGGAGATTTCTCATCTCATTCGAGTAGATTAAATGAACATCTCTAGTCTGAAACGGTTTGTGTATTTCTTAAACTTAATACTAATGATAAAGAATATTTTGTAACTTTCGAAAAAAAAAAATTTAAGGGTATTTTTAAAGAAGTTTCTTCGAGGCTTGTAAGGGCATTGAGACGCTATGTACTACCCGATTCCTACGTAATTTTCTTTTTATCGTCATTTAAAATTTTGAATTTTCGAGATTTTATTAGGTGCCCTAAAGAAAAAATGCTCGGGATGATTTGCCCCGACTTACCAGGTCTAGTCTTCCCCCTTGGACAGACGTGTAAGTCCGCGAGTATTTAGTCTTAAGATGTTTTCATAGATTTGTGAGTCTTGGATGTGGTTTACATCTAAGTCTTGAACATGATATTCTAGGAGTAGGAATGGAACAAGAAACAGAGTAATCAGAGTTTTTAACTTTGGTAAAAATGCTTATTTTTCCGTAAGTTCAATGACGTTTATGTGTAGGACTAAAAATTATATAAAAAATACCTTTGGATTGTTGGATATGTGGACTACGACTTTCGTGAAGGAAGTTTTCCAATTTGGGATATGGATCGAGAGTTTGAAATTGTAAATTAAATGGTTTGGAAATCAAAACTGAGAAGATATCGGGATAAAATTCATGCAAGGAAGACAACGAACAACGGTTGGACACACATCGGTCAATGGCAATAGAAGCGCCTCCTAGCCGAAAGCCAACACGCATCAAAGGAGGAACACATCCGCACCACTGTAGTGACACACATCCCGGATCACTAACTCGAACCAAACACAGTTCAAGTTCGTGATCCAACCTGATGACCCGCGCTTTGATCCAAGTCGTTACTTATCCATCCCGTCAGTGCCACATGTTGTATCCACAAAATTCGGAGGAAAAATCGCATCTACCAGAGCTGGAAGTGAGTCTCTGCTCATGCACTAACGGCAGGTGAAGCTCTGCGCATAGTTGCATGAGTGTCGGAGGCACATGGTCGTGCATGGAAGCCTTATTTCTTGTATGTACAATGCCCATTTATCAGTTTTCTGTCCCAATTTTGATGCTAATCTTATTTTAATGGGAATTAGGTCCTTCGAGAGAAAATTTAGAATTTTTGGACACCTCCATGACTAGAAATCAAACTCGGTGAGGGCCGAGGAGTATTGCTTATCTTAAGACTAAGATGTTCGTTCTCAATACCGCTATAATGTTTCCAAATGCATAATAAGTCTGTTTACTTTAATCTCAACTCCAGAAATTCTTGTGTCTTTCAAATGCATAATAAGCCATGTCACGTCAAATTTTCAAGTACAACCAGAACATAATATATCATCTAATAATATATCAAATGTTTAATGATAGTTCAACATGTACCTCTCGTTCACCTACCTGTGTACTCTATTTAAGTTGGTTTGGGTTATAAGCTCTATTCGGGTTACTCGAGTCACCAACTCAACCAACTCCAAATTTCGATTTGGTTCCAAAAGGTTTTTACAACCCAACTCAATCTCTCTAGACCACTAATTTTGATTTGTAACTATAGTATATTGATTTATCCACCTCGTTTTTTTGTTTCGAAGTAAAATTTTATGTGATACCATAATCGGAACTAAATTTAAAGGGTTAGAAGGTGATTGATGGATACTAGAGCCATGTCCAATTAATACCTTTCATCCTTGTCCCTCCTCAACAATATATCATCTTATTCTTTCGTTAGAGCAACAAGATACTTGTAATAATCCAACCCCACCACTAGCAAATATTGTCTGTTTTGGTTCGTTATATATCGTCGTCAGCTTCACAATTTTAAAACGCGCCTATTAGGGAGAGGTTTCCACACCCTTATAAAGAATGCTTCGTTTCCCTCTTAACTGATGTGGGATCTCACAATCGACCCCTTTGGGAGCCACACTGTCCGATGTCTGGCTCTAATACCATTTATAACAATCCAAGCTCACCGCTAGCAGATATTGTCTATTTTAACACGTTACGTATCGTCGTTAGCCTCACAATTCTAAAACACGCCCATTAAGGAGAGGTTTTCACATTCTTATCGGGAATGCTCTGTTACCCTCACAACTTATGTGGGATCCACAATCTATCCTCTTGGGAGCTCACCGGCCGATGTCCGGCTCTAATATCATTTGTAACAGTTCAAGCTTACCACTAACAAATATTGTCAGTGTGAGATCTCACATTGGTTAGAAAGGAGAACGAATCACTCTCACGAGAGTGAAAATCTCTCCCTAACTAAAATGATTGTTATGAGTGGCAACATGAGATGTGTGGTTTCATAGGATTATTACATGACAGCAGACAACATTAATAAACAAAGCATTGACTTCTCAACAACATATTACACTGCGCAGATTTGCGAATCCTTTTCAAAGTCAACTCTACAGCAGACAAGATTGGAATCTATTATCAACATTGCTAGTTTAGGACCCCCCAAAATACCTTTTAATTATGTAACCAAAATAAAGGTTAAATGATGTAATTATGCAACTTTCTACCCTCCGACCCAATTGTACGCATCAAAGATTAGGGTCGTCTAACTTAACCCTAATTGACACATAGAATTCGAACGTCTGTAATCAACTCTAAAAACCGTGGACCACCGTCATGTGGTAAAAATTAAAATTTTGATCCTATTCAAGAACTCGGAAATATAGGAGTATTTTTTGTGATTGGAGGTTTGGCATTCTTGACTAGGTACCTTATGACAAAAGTCAATTTTGACTTAAATTTTATAATCGAGTATGTCAAAAGATAGGGTTTTCTTTTTCGTTTTACTTTTTAATTTCTAGATGTTAC